AGTTGAAGAAATGTTTGCGGGTCCCTGATGAAGCTGTGGAAATTGAAGGACTTCCCCTCTAGCCTGACTTGTCATATATTGAGCATCCTGTCAAGATCTTGGACGAAAAAGAAAGAGTGACTATAAATAGTGTGGTGAAGTTCTACAAAGTTCAGTGGCAAAATCACTCGAAGGACGAAGCGATGTGGGAGCAAGAAAGTTATATCTTAAAGCATTATCCCCACCTTCTTTCTAGTTCACTGAGGTAGTTGTTTACATTGAAATCTATTTCTTATCTCTTTTTCCCATACTAGGCACATGAAATCTCGGGACGAGATTTTATTTAAGGGGGGTAGATTTGTAACACCCTCGGTGTTACACTGTAAATCATTTACTAAAACATGTCATGAGCATCATGTGTTATGTGTTAATGCATATAATTAAGTGTGTAGATCAAATTCCGTAACTCTAAACGATGGACAAAAATGCGAAACGAAAGTTCATTTGATAGTTATGTTGTATCACTTAGGGTTTAAAACCATTTTTTATTAAGCAAAAGTGCTATGAAACATATATGTGACACCATAATAAAGTTTGAAGCACACATTTTGTAGAAGATAGTGCAACTTTTGTTTTCACAATATAGTAACGATAGATAACATTTCAAATAGCTTGGAAATCGAATTTGAAACAAATCCAACTCAAGACTTAGTCGATTTCTTAAGTCTAAAAATAGATTGACAAAGCTATGTTTGGTAATTTTTGTAGAGAAATGGGGTTAAGGAGTGGTGTTGTATTATGGCTTGTTTTAGTAGCCTAATATACCCTCTTAGGTATAGCAAAGATGGTTTGGGTGTTTGGCCAACCGATTAGTTGATTTGTATGCTTTAAAAGGCATGCATGGCATGTCCTTAGTCGATTTCCTCGTGTAGGCATGGTCACTATGCCTCGGGGGCGCATCGCTGCCGCGTCGGTGCGCTCTATGCGCGCAAGCGCGTTGCAGTGATTGGCCGGCCATGGCTGCCCTATCTTGGTCGCCTTGGCTCAACTATGTGGAGCTGTCGCTGCTGCCGCTCGCACGGCGGGGTGGCACTGCCCTGCTCCACACGCTGACACGCCGCCACCGCCTCATGCCACATCTTAGTCGCTGCCATTGCCATCCCATCCATCGAGCTCGTGTATGTCTGATTGTGCCCGCTCCTCGCTGCTGGCCTAGTTTGATGCCGTGCGCACGTGGGCACGCCGCTATCGCTATGCCATTTATGGCACTACGGCCGTGCGGCCATGCTAGTCGGACGTGCACGTCTGTCGGCTAGCACTAGCGTGTGGGCCTCCGGTCCCCGCCGCTCGTGTCCCGCCAAGGCGTGGACGAGGCGAGCTCACTACCGTGCCATCTCTCTCTTTTCCTCTTTCCCCCTCTGTTTCTCTCTGTCGCCGCCGTCGCCTTGCGTCCATGAGTGCGCCAGAGCTAGGTCACCTCTATTCAATTCGTCTCATCTGCACCTCCGCCCTCATGTCTCTTCGTCGTCCGACCCCTCACCGTCTTGATGATGGCCCGGCCAGGCGCCAATTTGGTGTCTTCCCGTCGGTATGCCGTTAAGGCCACGTCGCGGCCATGACTGAGGGCAGGCCTCCCATCTCTCCACCTGAGCCCAATTGCCCACACCTGTAGGTGTGCCTTGCCTTCCTCTTCGTCATGCATGCCTTGGTTTAGTCGCTACCAGCTCCACCCCGCCACTGACTCGACCGAGCGTCGCCGCATTCCACCACCCGCACGTGGCCAGCCCGGTTCGGGGAATCCCCAGCCAAACCATCACCACAACCGCAACCTGGGTACGATAGTGATGCTATAGCGTTAGCTAGATCTCCCCGCGGTGGCTGAGGCTAGCCGGCATGGTCGTACCACTGTCGCGCATGGCCACACGCCGTGGTCGCCACTTCCGCGAGCTCTGCCCCTCCTATAACCTAGGCTAGTGTAGGCGCTAGGGTTGTAGACGGGGGTCGGCCTGTTAGTGGAGCCAGCGCGGGTCCCAGCTGGCCGACGTGGTCGTCCAATGCCATCACCGCCCCGCCGGCGCGCGCGAGTGGCTGAGGACCACACCATTGTAAAGGAGGGTGTGTTCGAGGGTTTTGTTGCATAGTTGCTCTCTCTAGGAATAGTGATATGGACTACGGGTTAGTTGTCTAGAGTTTAGGGGTGTTTTTGCAAGTTGGTCGACGCGCGCGGGGGCTCCCGCGTCGCGGGCCGTTTGCGCGCATGGGCAGCGTCTGTGGGTCGCGCGTGCGCGCGCAATGCGCGCGTGTGGGCAGCGCGGATGGGCCACGTGAGGATTGGTTTTCCTTTTTACAGCAAATTAGCAAATGTTTTTCTAATTTAGTTTTGAGCTGATATTTAGAAAATTATAGTAAATTCTGTAGGTGTCCAAAAATAGTGAAACAAAATTTATTAGGTTCATAAAAATGTGATCTATCTGTTGGTGTAGTTAGTTTACAGTTATATGTGAGAATGCTAGATTCATTAATTCATTTAGGAAAGCTTAGCATTATTTAGATTAATATTTGTAGTAATTTTTGTGGCAAATTGGTAATAGCTTTGATCATGAAATTTTTACAGTAGGTTCATTGTAATATTATGTGCTCACTATAATTTTTGTAGCCTTAGAATAGATTGATAAATAGGGTAGTTAAGTACTCCTTGTTTTAGTATATATAAAATCATAAATAAAGTAAGAAATGCATTTTTGATTGCTAAGATAATACTCCAATGTTTCATACCTGTTTAGTGGAAAGGATGGGTAGCTTAGCATCTTAGTCATTAGAGTTAGCTTGGTAGATGTATTCTTATTTTAAGAGTTGCTGTTGCTATATTACTAAGTGTTGCATCATCATTTCATGCATGTAGATAACGAGTTGGTAGAGTTCGTGACCGCGGGCGAGCAGGAGTATGAGGAAGTAATTGAAGAGTACGAGGAGATTCTCGTACAGCAGGGAGCCCCAGAGCCACCAACAACTGACTTTATTGACACCTCGCCTGCCCAAGACAAGCCCCGGTGCATAACCCTTATTTTGAATAATCACTAGAAATATATATATGATGTGCATTTATGTTGCGGGATTTATATTGAAACTACATGCATAGATATACCTACCTATGAGTCCTACTAGCTTAGGTCGAGTAACTGCTATGCTTATGTTTTTTGGTAGCGTGAGTAACCTACCATTACTCACAATAGGTGATTATTATTATCACTCTCATGATAAAATGGTGAAAGGAAATGGAGATCGGACAGGGATATGGTACGGGTACTAGTGGGTGTAAGAGGTTGTGTCCCGCGGCCAACGGTTCATAGATTGGTTACACTGTTTTCCCTATCCGTGTCGGTTAAGGACAGACCGTTGCATTGGATTCTAGTCAGGTCACAAACTTATTATCCTGAGCACATACTTGTTTATGAGAGCAGGGAAAGGCTCGTTGCTCTCTTGTCGTGGGTTTTAGCTCTTTCCGGACCAACTGATTGAAGACGGGGATGGTGGAGATCTAAGCACCACACTAAGTCCGGGACTCAGGTGTGGGGGCTTGGAGTCTAAGTTTGGACGGGAACCTGGACCCCTTGATAGAAGAGTGATGGGTTGGTCCGGCTTGTGCCTGAGCGTGTGTTTCGGGGTACTCATCTAGGCACATTGATTCATGAATCATCGGGTAATCCGGTACGGCTTGTCTACAATCTAGCACCGTAGTAAGAACTGGAAGATGAAAGGTGGTGAAATGGATCTTTTGCTCAATTCTTGCTTGAAAGTAGAACATATGCTTACCTAGAATGGTTAGATAATGAACTAATTATGACTGCTAATGAGAAACATACATAAGGATTCACTACTAGTATTGCTTTCCACAAAAAGAAAAGCCAGAACCCAAAAAAGCTTATCATATCCTTTGGAGTCAAAAATTATTCCTACTAGTCAGGTAAGTCTTGTGAGTACATCATGTACTCATGGTTTATTTACCCCTGTTGTAGGTGCAGTTTGAAGAGTAGTTGTTGTGTGGAGGATTCTTCTGGTGGGCATAGACGGATCCTTGTATTCTACCGTTAAATATTTAGTGTAATTCCATTGTTTAAATTCCGTACTCTGAACTTAGTATTGTAATAATGTATTTTTGAGAACCCTTGTTGTATGAAATGGACTAAGTACTGTAAACTCGTTCTCATTATTGGATCCTGGAGAAAAAATTTAGATTATTCAAGTTCTCCCTTAGGGTGTGCTCGACGGAACCCGTCCGATGTAGCTTGCTTTCGGGGTGCTTAGTGTCTGGTGAAAGACGAACGCCTCCGTAAGGGTGCTATTTTGAAACGGTTCTGCCACAAGGTTCAGGGGATATTGCAAATCACAAGAATGCAAATGGATTAGAGCTAGAACTCAGAGAGATAACAGTGTCAGGGTATATTACTAACTTTTTTTAGACCATGTCACTAGCAATTGTGTAGGAGCGCGCACAAAGCTGGCAAATGAAGGAGTGCCGTCCGTAAGGATGGCAAAAAGTTAAAAATCCCCTAAGCCTAAAAATTCATAAAATGGAAGAAAAAACAGGTCAAGCAGGGGAAATAGAGCTCTAATTTTATTTTCCCTTAATTAAAAGGGGGTGGAGCTAGCTATTTAGTCGAAAAGAGATTATCAAAGGAGAGCTAGTAGGAAATGGTTAGTCAAGCAAAAAGAATAAATATTTTTTTATTAGCATACATATATACTCGTTGACATGTACATAACTTGATGGAATATATATTGTATTAGTATATACACCGCATCTCACAAGACACAAAACTAATTAAGGTACCTAGATCATAGTAGACGAAAATGAGATACATACATAATTGAATTATAGTATTGATTGCAAAGACTGTCGATGTTAATCAACGATCGACTATATACGGCCGCTATAGGCTTAGGCTAGGTAGCTAGGACCGTATTAGGACTACTAGTGTCATTAGTCATGGATGAAGCTGAAGGTACGATGGATCTTCAGTTCACTGGACGTGGGTGGCGCACTGGGACGACTGGGAGGGGAAGGAGGACCCCTGCTCCTGCAGCTGTCCTGGTGGGAGTGGGATCGCCGGCGCTTGCAGCAGAACGGCGGCGATGCAGTCCACGGTGAGGCCGTGCGTGGCGGACACCCAGGTGGACACCTTCCAGCGGAGCTGCCCCTGGATGCGCACCCTGAGCAGCGCACGCTCAGGCGGCGACGACGGCGACCTCCAGCTCCCGGCGGCGGAGTTGGATGTGAGCATGGCCGACAGAACCACGTCGCCCTCGGGCTGCTCTAAGGGCGTGGGCATCAGCGGCGCTGCGGCGCCGAGGGGCACGCCGGCGTAGGAGGCGGTGGCCTGGAGCTGGTCGTAGAGAGCGGTGGCGCGGGCGTTGGGGTTGTGGGCGGTGAGCGCGGCGTCGACGGTGATTATAGTAGCGGCGCCGGCAGAGGCGTTGGCTACCGTGGCGGTGGCGGCGAGCAGGGAGAAGCTGGGGCTGGAGGGGCGGAGGGTGAGCCACAGGATGAGGGCCAGCGACAGCAGCGACGCCACGGTGGAGCAGACGGCGACGAGAGCCCGACGACGTCGATTGCCGTGGTGATGGTGGTGGTGGTGGTGCTTATGCGGACGGGAGGAGGACCTGGAGCAGTCCCTTGGGGAATCCTCAGGATCACCCGTGATCAGAGACATCTCCCTAGCTAGCTAGCTCCTTTACTATTTTGGCTGCTGCGTATGCGCATGATGCATCATATAATGCTCTGCTCTTGCAGCGGCTGGATGGTGATGGATGGGGCGATTCAGGACCAGGAGATGCTAAAAAATAAGGATAAAAATAAAGTTGTAAAAGTTGGCCGAGACGTGGATCGGAGATAAAAGAAGGATGAATGAATGAACGAACGACACTCTTGCATGGCGTAAAGCTGAAGCACAAGTCACAGGGCAGGCTCCATACTACATCCGAAAATCATCAACATATAGACAAGTAGTAATTAGACTTGTCTTGATCGAAAAAAGTACTTTCACCGGGACGTAAATTTGTTACATGCTCATTCATATTCTAATATAAAAGTATACAGTGGCGAAAATCATATTTTGGAGTTCGTGTCCATGTCCAAAACGTCGCAGTTTGCAAACCGGAAGGACGAGGAAGCATCGGCTAACACACGGAACAGAGCTGAAACTGCAATCATCATCACCATCATCACTGTTATATCACATAAGAACAAGAGTATGTAGTCCCTGTCTTCCTTTCCCAAAAGCCCCTGCAGCTGCAGGATTCCATTTCCATGGGTATGCTGTGGTGGTGGTGGTCAATCATGATTCATGCCATGCCAGACAAGAGACAAAGATCATAAAGGCAAAGCACAGACATACAACGCAAGAAAAAAAGCTAGTGGATCAATTGGAATCCACCCAGAACATTCACACAATTTCCCATCTAGTACGTCTATCTACACCACTGTATTATTGATAACGCTGCCCTATGGTTTTTTATATAAAAAGACAAGTAATATTCAGACTATAATTGATTTCCTCGTTGCTGGATTCTACGGGTAAAACTAAAAAGCATGTTTCTCAAAGAATATGCTGTTCTACCATATCAGTTCAGTTGAAAATATGCTCCATCGCATTGGCAGGGATTAGCCAAGGTCTCTCATCTTCTTTGCCAAACGAAAAGGATGGCTGCATTATCATCTTCTTTGCCAAACGAAAAAGATGGCAGCATTTTATTGACTGTCTGCACTTTTCACCAGCTCTTAGACTACGGGAGACAAGATGAGGTGAGATACATGCTTCTCACTTCTCAGCATCCAACTCCTGATCCTGACTCTCATTAGCATCAATTCCTGGCTCCTTTGTTACCCAATTAACCACAAATAACAGTATCCATCACAATCACACCTCATTGGCCCAGCCTGCGCACCATGCTCTCCCAAGCATATAAATGCACCAGAATGGCGTATGCATACGCAAAAACAAGAACAATATACATACAATAAGCTCCTAATCAGTAATCACCCGCAGCTTCCACCGCCGTCAGCATCAAACTTCCCCATAATACAACATAACATGTAGGGAGACTAGCACACAAGCATTCTATAATTCAGCACAAGACACAGGTACAAGAAACTGTCGTCAAAGCATCTGTGAATTGAGAATAGTGAGTAAGTATCCCCATCAACCAGTTCACATTCGAAAGCAACTTTCTGCATACATCCCGATCGAGCCATTTGGTGTTTTTTCATCACATGCTCAACGCACCTCCAGATGCACAAAAAAACAATCGCTCGCTCATGTTCTTCATCAAAAGCTAAACACACCCCCAGATGCACAAAAAGAAAACACCTGTTCACTGTCCAACGAGACTTTGCTTACTGCTCACAAAACCTGACTGCCACAACCATCACTGGGACCCACTGAACTTGGCCATCATCTTTGCGATGATAGGGCCCACCTTGGGATTCGCTTGGTGCTTAGCAAAGTTGGCAGGATTGTTCATCACTGGAATCAGGCATTCAAACAATGGGTCAAATCAATGATGTGTACAATGATTCTATATAGCCAAGTAAAACAGGCAGGTGAAATGATGCAGCTCTGTCTTTAACATACTGGGTCAAATCACTGTCACTGAATCTATGCGCAAATGCAAATTCCATAACCAAGAAAAACAGGTAACAAAGCACAGCTTCATATCTTAACATAAAACCTCTGAATCTGCATGTAAATTCTAATAACTAAGAAAAATAGGTTGCACAGCACAGCTTCATGTCTTAACAACATACTACTGTTAGCTAGGGTCTCGTGTGGAAATGCTAAGTTAACTATATCTACCTGTGCTCGAATGGGACTGTTATAGTACATGGATCATTCAAATCGCTTGATTGATCACGCAGGTTTCTGTCTCTAACTAGCACTGTTTTCAAGTACTCTTCTTAAATCACAATCAAACCATTTTAATCAAACTACCAACAATCCTCACAAGCATTATTCATTCTGATGCCCAAATATAGAAATAGTATATATAACATTAATTTCAAATAACAAGTAAGAACCTATGTAGCACTGCACCAGAATTGACGAAGACATTATTCAGATACCACAGCAAATAGGAAGCCAAACTTGAAAATAAACTAGCATCACAAGATTGGTGTGGGAAACCAGAAACATACCATCTTGCAGCGCCACCATGACCTCTGGGTCACTGAATGCGGCCATCAGGTCAGGGTCCTGGCAAACAAAGAAAGCAGATCATTGTACAAAAGGGAGATTCATGTGTATAAAGTGGATAAAAAAATAGCATAACCAAGCAAGGCAGCAACCTGTTAATCACTTACATTCAGGATTTTACTCATATCAACATTTCCAGGCATGCCACCCCCAGGGAAACCTCCAGGCATGCCACCCCCAGGGAAACCCCCAGGCATCCCTCCAGGGAAACCCCCACCAGGCATCCCTCCAGGGAAACCTCCACCGGGCATCCCTCCAGGAAAGCCTCTGGGAGACGCACCTCCTGACGAGCGACTTGACGATTGCTCCTTCCTCTTGGCCTTGTCATAAGCCGCCTGGTAAAATAAAACACAAGGAATTTGGTTCAGATGTAACCGTAAGAAGCATCCTCCAGAGGGAAATGCATGGAGGCCTTCCTTAGTGTGAATTACCTGTGCCTCTGCACGTCGACGAAGCCGATCACGCTCCGCTCTCTTTTCCTCCCTCTCTTTTCTCAGCCTCTCATACTTCCTGCGATGTTCCATTATCTTCTGAGCATTAGGCTCCACCTGCAAGATTACCGGATACAGAGATAATGAGAGTAGTTATTACTGAATACAGGATAATGAGCTAATAAGCTTGCCATGCAAATTATAAAGCTAGTTCTCAAGAAATTCACCTTCTTGAGCACAGCACTGATCTCCTCATCATAATCCATGTTAGATGCTGTGTGCAGATCACGAGCAGCTTCCTCCCATTTGCCAAGCATGGCATATGCCATTCCACGAGTTTTATAGCCTTTTGCAGAGTCCGGGTTGATCTGGGGGGTAGAAACAAACAAAATGACAGGTTAGGTGCATCATGTCCAGCATTTTAGGTCTCAAGTATGCCTATTGGCATCTTCTAAGAATGGGTAACATAACATTTTTGCTCAAGGAAAACACAAGAAATACAAGATGACACAAAGCTATCACCTCTAGAGCAGCATTGGCATCACGAATGGCAGCAGCTGGTTTCTTCATTTTTATAAACACAGATGCTGTACAAACATAAGAATTCCCCAACATGATTAGTGTCTGTGAAAAGAGTAATTCATCATGCATAGGTGGTTGCATTTGGCATGTAGTGTCTGCCGCTTACCTCTAGTACCATACATGATTGCTGAGAGTGGATTCAGCACTATTGCGTTGGTAAGGTGTTCAATAGCATCTTCGAGTTTTCCTGAGATGACAAGACCAACAGTGACACGGATTGAAGAGTCGTTCATGATCCAGATGGCGATAAGCCAAGGGCCAGAAGAGGATCAATTCCGAAGAGAGTGGGAGGAAGGAGAGTACCTTCAGAAATTGCTTCCATAGCCTTGCCTTTTGCTTCTTGAGAGGCATCACGATTTTCCTCAGTCACCTCCACCGAAGGATCTCCCATCTGCCATGGCAAAAACGGACTTAGCAGCACATCTCCCTTGCCGCTAGGATCCTCACAGAAGGGAAAGGGAACATGTTAGTGGCAAGAGGATGGAGTAGAGGCTACCTTCTGTGGTGGGTCATCATGGTCAGACTGTACAATGTCTCCTTCAAGATCAAGATCAGACTCAACAATCTCTTCATCGACCTCGTCTGGCTCAGGAGTGGGATCTCTCATATCCAGATCGTCGTCATCATCATCATCATCAATGTCGTCCATGGAAGATCTCTGCAGTGCATAATTGCGTAAGAACAGACAAGGACTCAAGAAAGGACCTTGGACGGCCAGCACACGACAAGGAAGCCATAAGTGCGGTGTGAATGCTACGGAGTGGGAAAAGCAATTCAGTAATTTTTTTTCTCTGCGCCCTAGTAATTTCATTGAAGTGCCATAAAAAATATAACATGCTTTGCAAAGAAGAAGATTCTTTGGCTGTAGGTCTTATTTACTCTTTTTTTTTTTGGAAAAAAAAGAAGGATTCGAGCAGGTAATTAGTCTCTATTACGCGGGGTGATAGAGGAGAAGATGGATGGGTAATGTTACCTTGGGCTTGTCGAAGGAGGCGGCGGCGGCGGCGGCGGGAATTTTGGCACCCAGACTGCAAAAAAGGTCCTCCGATCAGAAGGAATGAAGGATGATGGGGGCGAATCGAAAGAAATAGCGATGAGGGAGGGGAGGGGAGGGGATGGGAGATGGACCTCTCGAGGTAATCCCGGAAGAAGGCGAGGCTGGGGTCGGCGAGGAGCGAAGGGTCCTTCTTGCACGCGTCGACGAAGTCGCGGAGCTTGGAGGCATCCATGGTCTTGGTTCCGTTCCCTTCGCTAGGGTTTAGTTAGGGTCGTGTTCCTTCCCTGTGCTTTTTGATGGAGTGGAGAGGGAAGGGGGAGGTGAACAAGTCACGTGATCGGCTGGCGGCTGCTCCTTCCTTCTAGTGCCTTCTACGCTGCCCCGCCCACTGTCAGTGAGCGACACACCAGCATGGGCCGCTCATAGGTAAAGTATGGTCTGCCCTTCTTCCTCTCTCCTGAAGGCCAGGCCCATCCATGAAAGGGAAGGAAAGGAAAGGGAAGTCAGCCCACGAAAGGGAAGGGAAGGGAAGGGAAGGGAAGTCACGTGACAAGCATGAGGAGTTGACTAATGATACTCCTCTGTCCCCGCCGGAGAAGATGGCCTGCCCACTGCTCAGCCCCCCTGCCCAGCACGGATCTCATCTCAGCATCCAATTTCTCTCGCTGGAGCACACCAGAAGCAGTATCAGGTGACAGGGAATGGGATCAACAACAATGCCCCTTCCATCTTTCCCCGTCGTCCTCCTGCTCCTCCTCCTCGCCACCGCCGCCGCCGTTGCCGCCGGAAGCAACAAGGCTGAGGAGGAGGTGGACGACCTCCAGTACCTTATTGACAACTCCGACGACATCCCCGCCAACGAACCCGACGGGTGGCCTGATGAGGGCGACGACGACGACGACGACGACAACCTTCTCTTCCAAGATCAGGACCAGGACCTCCTGGGCCACCAGCCGCAGATCGACGAGACCCACGTCGTGGTCCTCACCGCCGCCAACTTCTCCTCCTTCCTCACCGCCACCCGCCATGTCATGGTTGAGTTCTACGCCCCCTGGTGTGGCCACTGCCAGGAGCTCGCCCCGGAATACGCCGCCGCCGCCGCGCATCTCGCCGCCCACCCTCACCAGGCCGACCTCGCCCTCGCCAAGGTCGACGCCACCGAGGAAACCGACCTCGCCCAGAGGTACGACGTCCAGGGCTTCCCCACCATCCTCTTCTTCATCGACGGCGTCCCCAAGGACTACAACGGCGCCAGGACCAAGGACGCCATCGTCGACTGGATCAACAAGAAGCTCGGCCCGGCCGTGCAAAATGTCACCAGCGTCGACGAGGCCGAGAGGATACTCACCGGGGATGACAAAGCCGTCCTTGCCTTCCTCGACACTCTATCCGTACGAACGAACCATTACCCTTCTAAATTATTTTTGGAGTATTTTCTGTTCATCACTTCATTTTAGTTCCTACACTTTGACAGGCACTAACCACCTTTCAAATCCAATTATTATTGAGTTTAACTGACAGTGTCCGTACAACACATCTTAAACCTGAAAGGCACAGCAGCTAGTATAGGATTTTTCTCGGAGGAAGAAACCAAGCCTGCTTCTTATTATATATGCTAGTTTTTTTTTTCATCACACTTGAATAATATAGGGCGTGTTCGGCTGGCTTAAAGCCACTCACGAAATCACTGTTCACATCCTGCCAGAAGAGTATTTTTCTCTCACAACAATCAGCCGGAACAGTATTTTTCCGTCCTGCCGAACAGGCCCATAACCTGCAAGTGAGGTTAAATGTTCTACTTCCATGTCCTGAGGACCAAAGTTAGTGGCTGAAAATAGCTCGCAACAGCAAAAATGATTAGTAGATGATGACTTGTATGTTGAGACCGTGGACCCTTTTTTAATTATTATTGGAACTTCCTTCTTTTCAAATGCTATATAGGGTGCTCACAGTGATGAGCTTGCTGCTGCTTCAAGGCTGGAAGATAGCATCAACTTTTATCAGACTACAACTCCCGATGTTGCTAAGCTTTTCCACATCGACGCAGCAGCAAAGCGGCCATCCGTAGTACTGCTGAAGAAAGAGGAGGAGAAGTTGACCTTCTATGGTAGGTGTCTTCATCTCTAAGTCATTCTAGATTTCAGTATCAGCCTTCGTTTCAAAAAAAAATTTGCACCTATTAACAGATATAATTCAATGTGTATGATGCAGATGGGGAGTTTAAAGCATCAGCCATTGCCAATTTTGTGTCTGCTAACAAGCTTCCTTTGGTTACCACACTAACTCAAGAAACTTCCCCTTCTATTTTTGGCAATCCAATCAAGAAGCAGGCATGCCATGTTGCCTACTATCGGATCTCTTTTTTCTGTATTCTAACATTGTTTTGTCCATATACTGTTCCTTCACTGAGATACTGTCTTTGTTTCGCAAGTCAGATTTTACTATTTGCTGTTGCAAGGGAGTCCTCCAAATTTCTGTCCATCTTTAAGGAAGCAGCAAAGCCATTTAAGGGAAAGGTAATTCTTTCTGTTTGTTAGAATTTATATTTGGTAATTAGGATTGTAATCCAGTATTGTCATGTGTCTAGGGAGGCAACTTGCCCCCAAAGTCTCTGTACTCTATATATACCGCCCAAGAGGCTCAATCAATCTAATCACACGCTATTAGCCTCAGTCTGACCATTTGCGATGCTTCTGCTATGTCTGTATACCTCCCGAGAGACTCAATCAATCTGATCTCATGCGATTAAGCTCACTTACATTGTTGACCCACTGATTTTGTTTGGACCTCTATCCTTTGCTTTGTTCTATGTTCAAGTTATTCCAACTCTTTGGTTGTTTTTCCTTGTACTATTTTTTTTTGTTCTTAATACTTCTTGGTGTGAAAGTTTTGTGAATCATTGATGAGGTGTGTTCACGTATATGCAGCTATTATTTGTCTTTGTGGAGCGAGACAATGAGGAAGTTGGTGAACCAGTTGCCGACTACTTTGGTATTACTGGACAAGAGACCACAGTAATACCTTTTTTCTTACATCATTAACCTGGTTTCATGTCTTTATATTATTATTTTGTAAATTCCAATTGCATTCCTCTGCAGGTTCTTGCTTACACTGGTAATGAAGATGCTAAGAAATTTTTCCTTGATGGTGAGGTGTCACTTGAAGCCATTAAGGTAATTGCTGAAATATATTATGCACCGAATGAGAAATAAGAACTAATGGACTAGTGCTAATGGTTAACAGTGAGTGTTCGTCATGTTACTAATTTGAAGCTGATTTGTGAGTTTCACTAACCATTACTTGACTTGGTTTTCTGTCCATTTGTTTTTCTGTTGAGTAAAATGGATCAACGGTGTCATGTCCAGGCCCCATAAGCACCGTAAATGCAGATTTGGTCCCAAAACTTGTTAAGTGTGCTGTGTGCCACTTGAGTGCAAATGTTCTTAGAGCGCCCCAACAATGCCACCTCAGCTCCTAAACTCTATCATTATCCTTGGCGCCTGGAGCATTTGGAAACACCGGAATGACTGTGTCTTCAATGGGGCTGCACCAAGCACGGTCTTGAGTCTAGCTAGGGATGAAGCTCATTGGTGGTGTATGGCAGGAGCAAAGGGTCTATCCTTGCTCACTGCTAGGGGCTTTTAGTTTTAGCCCGCTCGGTCGTTGTACTTCCAGAAATAGGTGATTAAGACTTAGAAAACTGGGAAGGTGCGGAGGTGTGGGTGTGTGTGTTTGGGTCTATGTATGACTCCTTTTCTTCTACTAATACAATGATATACAGCTCTCCTGCGTGTTCGAGAAAAAAAAATGCCACCTCAGCTGGCCATATAGGATCCTTGTCATCATTTTGCATATGTGGAGGGGAGAAGGAAAGAAGAGAGAGGAAAGCTAACTACTAGTTAGTAGCTAGTCTATAACACACTTAAAGAAGCATCAGCATTTAATACCCCTATTATATGTAGACCCGTATTTTTTTTGAAGAGCGTGCTATAGGTAGTCCATTGGAGAGCTAATGTACTGTGCTCTCTATTTCTTACATGGACATGTTAGAATTGTAGATTACCTCTCTGTGTAACCGTAGAACCGGGTAGACCTCTGCTTTGGGTTCCTCTGCACACCTTGACTGTAGCCTCGCGGACGCCGGTGCCGCGGTGTAGTAGGCCTCCAGCGCGGTGGAGATGAAATCCAGTGGCGCTGGTGAAGACCGTGGTGACCCTGCAGAGGAAACGGCGGTGTGGTGGATGGGCTTACCGTCGCTGGCAGCACTACTTTGATCGGTCTAGGTTTACTGTGGGTCAGATGGCGGCGGCTCCGTTGAACCTCGTAGCACGAGCCCTGATCCCCACCTTACCTTTTATATGTGCTGTGCGACAGGGGCCCACCAACCGTATTAGGGTTGGGCTCCCCCGATCAGGAAGCAGAGGCCTATTGGTAGAGATCAACTAACATTCTCTCCCTTGATCTCACTACCATCTTTCAATTTCATTAACTTTTGTTCATTCCATTACAGATTAGTGCATAGAGCATGTCTCATCGTCACGGTCCATTGCCGATAGACTTAACAGCTACAACACACTACTTTGTTTTGAAATAGATATTTATCTTTGTGCCTTCTTTTGTTCAGGAATTTTAGGTTTTCCCTTAAACACATGCTAGCTACATGTTCTTTGAACACCATGTTCTCTGAACACGTTGGGTGGTAAGCTTTTTGTAAGCGGATCTGCGAGCATTTTTTCTGTACTTATATGCTCAAGACTTATGACTTGATCCTGGACTTTATCTTTCACAACATAATACTCTATGTCAATGTGTTTGGCAGCACCACTTGACTTATGTTATGAGCATACTGTACTGCCGGATTATTATCGTAGTATAACTTAAGTGGTCTATAGATGTCAACCACCTTCAAACCTGGTATGAACTTCTATAGTCAGTTCACCTGCCCGTTGCCTCATAACACGCTACAAACTGTCACACATTGTGGACGATGTAGTGACGGTTTGCTTTGAGCTTTTTCATTAAATAGCTCCCCCTTTGCGAGAGTGAATACATATCCTTTCTTAATTTTCTATCATCTCTCGCATAATCAGAATCTGAATATCCCACTATGTGGAGTAAATCAGATCTTTTATATGTCATCATGAGGCCTTTCGTTCCTTACAAATAACGCAAGACTTTCTTTACTAATTTCAGTGTTCTGTTCCAGAATTGCTCTGGAATCTGCCAAGTAACCCGGTAACAAATGCCAAGTCAGGGCGCATACATACTTGAGCATATTGCAAGCTTCCGACAACTGAAGCACATGGAACCGTTTTTCATTTGATCGATCTCATGTTGGTTCCTGGGGCATTTAAAATCCCTATATCTGTCGCCCTTGACTATAGGAGTAGGTGAGGGACTATATTTGTGCATACAGAATTTTTTTAAGATCTTTTCCATGTATGCCTTTTGTGACAGTCCTAATACCCCTTTACTTCTATTTCGTTGAATCTCGATCTCTAGAACGAACGAAGGTTCACCAAGATCTTTCATATCAAATTTTGAGGACAAAACTTCTTTGTCTCCAGTAGTAGACTGACATCACTACTAGCAAGTAAGATATCATCCACATACAGGACAAGGAAGATAAACTTCCCATTCTTAAACTTTGTATAGACACAATTGTCCTCTACATTTTCTTTAAACCCAAAATTCTTTATTGTCTGATCAAATTTCAAGTACCACTGTCTTGAAGCTTGTTTTAATCCATAAATGAATTTCTTTAGGCGGTATCTCATTTGTTCTTTTCCTTCCATGACAAAATCTTTCGGTTGTGCCATGTAAACATTTTCCTCCAAGTCCTCGTTGAGAAATGTCGTCTTTACATCCATCTGATGTAACTCTAAATCGTAATGTGCCACTAATGCCATTATGATTCTGAAGGAATCCTTACATGAGTGGAGAAAAGGTCCCATTGTAATCAATCCCTTCTCTTTGCGTAAAGCCTTTTGCCACAAGTCTCGCTTTATATCTCTCTATATTCCCTTGAGAGTCAAATTTTGTTTTGTATACCCATTTACAACATACTGTTTTGGCTTCTTTAGGAATTATCTCCAAATCCTAAACTTTATTGGCATTCATAGATTTTATTTCATCTTCCATGGCCTCAAGTCACTTTGATGAATGATCACTTTTCGTGGCTTCTTCAAATGAGGTGGGATCATCCTCCATTTGAAATTCCTCAGTGTTGTACACTTCATAATCAGCAGAAATAGCTGATTTTCTAACTCTTTGAGATCTTTTAGGGGCTTTCACATTTAGCACATGTTCTCTTTGAGGCTGTTGTTGCTCCCCCTCATGTGTGGCAATAGGTTCTATAGGATCCTAAAGAACAGGTTCCTCATCGTCTTTCATTGGTGCCACAGGTGGGATAACAACAGGTGCTGGCACCATAGTGTTTTGCACTGTCGGTGCAGCGACAGCAGGTAATGAGAAAAATGGCTCATGAATCATTGGACTGGGCGCATACACCCGCTTCACTTCAAGGTCAATTTCTCGAGCTACCATGCTCCCCCTCATCAATTTATCCTCTAGGAAGACAGCGTGTCTAGTTTCCACAAACTTTGTATGTTTTTCTGGACAATAGAAAACGAAAACTTTTTGACTTTTCTGGGTAGCCAAACAAATGGCAACTTACTATTTTGGGATCTAACTTCCCAATGTTTGGATTAAAATACTTTAGCCTCAGTAGGGCTCCCCCACACACACGCAAGTTGTTTAGTGAGGGTACTCTTTCTGTCCACAACTCATACGGTGTTTTGGGCACCGACTTTCTTGATACTCTATTGAGAATATGAATGGCGGTTTTAACGCCTCCATCCACAGGCTCAACTGTAAGGTGGAGTAACTTATCATACTGCCCACCATATCCATCAGGGTACGATTGATTCTTTTAGCTACTCTATTCTGCTGAGGTTCGCCCGGTGTAGAATACTGGGCTACTATGCCATTCTTTTAGGGTGTGCCGACCGTAATACTCTCCCACGGTCAGACATGACTATCTTAATCTTTAATATCTTAAATTTATCCAATGTTTCTGTTCTTTCTTTGATTGGATAAATATAGTCATAATGGGAGTAATCATTTGTGAATGTTATGAATGAATCATAACCATCCACACTCTTTACAGGAAAATGACCACAGATGTCTGTGTGAATAATCTATAAAATTCCTGCGCTTCGTTTGTCATCTTTCTTTACATACTTTCCTTTTATGCATTCTCTGCATTGTTCTAAATCGCTAAATCTGAGAGCTCTAATGGAGGAAGAATATCATTCTTAACTAGTCTTTCTATTCTCCCCCTCGAAATATGGCCTGATCGACAGTGCCATAATTTCGACGACGCATCTTGAGCTCTCTTATGCCATCATTTTCAGAGTAACTCTCTGTCACCAGCTGCTTTATCAGTTGGGTAGCATATATCTTTGAAGAGCCAGTGAACTGACTCTTTATCTATCGAGGCACTCGGTGACCGTGTCACACTCTGTGATTGAGTCCACAATTGCAGGCTCAATCGTGTGTTTTATCACAGCCAAACATTTCATGCTGGCAGTGACCCACTTCCTATGCTTAAAGTCGTAGGACATCTTTTGGGATTCAAAATCCCTTTCTTTAGTTGCCTAATCGGCATCATTCTCTTTTGTCTCCCTCACCGGTACCACATACTTAGTGGGACACAGTGAGGTGACTACCCAGTCCACCTCAGTCAAGATGAAAATCAGGTCAAACCTTTTCTTAACATAAAAATAACACCATTTGCATGTCTTGATTTCAACGTCGGTTAAAATCAAAATATACAACTGCTCGTATACACTAATTCTACATCACCGTTTGACAGAAATAGAATTAATGTATAAAATCATTAAAATTCACAATTGTTCTTACACACTAATTCTACATCACCGTTGGCCAGAAATAAAATTAATGCATAAATCATTAAAATTTTACAACTGTTCTTATACACTAATTCCACATCACCGTTGGGCAGAAGTAGAATTAATACATAAATCATTAAAATTATGATATTGTTATTAACAACGTTGGTCAGAAAATAACAACATCATAATCATGTTAAAACTCTTTTTCTCCAATTAAATATCATATTGGTTCAAATAACTGGAGAATAAACATTTTCTTTAGCAGCGGAAAAACTTTCTTTTTCTCCAATTAAATATCACGTTGGTACAAATTAACTGGAGGATAAACAATTTCTTTGGCAGCGGAAAAACTCTTACTCATTTCATGAATTTTACCCACAGGGAAAAATTACTTTTTCTATTTCCTTTGAGCTATTTTACATTTTCCAGAAATAAATATTTGCTGGAAAAGGAAAAAACGAAAAAAAACTTAATCATTTCTTACTGTGCATTTAGACCAGCCGGCAAAATGGTCCGGCCCATCTCCTTGACGCTGGCCGGGCTCCTGTGCCGCAACTGGCCTGGGCATAAAGCTGCTACCTCCGCTTTGGTCGTTTATTTGGCCCGATCGTGATCCGCCGTCGGATCGCATCCGACGGTCGCCTGGCCGTCTCGCCCGAACAAAATGACCAACCGGCCGCGTCGGCCGAAAACCCTAGCTTCATTCCTTTCGTTGCTCTCTCTCTCTCTCTTCTTCTCTTCGCCGCTCTCTCCTCTCTCAGCGCAGCGAGCACCGAGCGGCGACCGAGCAACTACGGCGGTGAAGCGAGGCATCCATGGCGCGCCGGCGTCGTCGCCTCGCGCCGCCTGCTGCTCTAACGGGTGAGCACGCCATTGCCGAAGCAGCCCGTGCATGGCGCCCTTTGGCCGAAGCCCCATGAAAGCACGCTTCTTCTCGCCCTTTCTCTCTCTCTCACGGCCAAGGCCATCCATCGCACGCACGGCGAGGGAGATCCATTCTCTTTTCCTTTCTCCGATTTGGATTTCTTTTCTCTTATCCGAACCGGTGATGAGGATTGGGGTTTGTTCTAGGGTTAGGGTTCAGAATCCGACCTTACCCTTCTCTGATTTGCTTTTGAATCTTCTTTCTTTTCTTTTTGAATCTTTTCTTTCTACTGATTCAACCGATTGGGGTAGGTTTCATTTTCTTTTGATTTCTTTTTCTTTTGGAGTTCATCCGAATGGTTTTCCCTTTTCCTTTCTCCATGCGAGTTAGGGTTTGGGTTCGGTTGAACCCGATTTGTTTTGATTCGAGATCGAGATGCTAGGGTTCACTTTTTTCTTCCGAGACCGATTCCTTCCCTTCTTCCCCTTCCCTTCTTCTTTTTTGGGATCAACCCGATTTGGGATGGGGTTAAACTTAGGGTTAGGTCTTAGGGTTCGGCCAAATCCGAACCCACTCTTCTTCTTCTTTGTACTGTTTCTCTTCCCGTTGAAGGCTTTTACGGGTTTAGGGTTAGTGAACCCCTTCTCTGTTCAGATCCGTAAGAACTCTTTTTCTTTTCTTGCCGCATTACGGCACTTTTTCCCACATGTGGCGGCGGTGGTGACCGGGGTTCCAGTGACGTCCGCCACCCCCGGTCCCTTTTCCGTTTCTTTTACCCGATTAGGGTTAGGGTTACACACTGGCAACCTGGCTCTGGTACCAATGTTAGAATCGTAGGTTACCTCTCTGTGTAACCGTAGAACCGGGTAGACCTCTGCTTTGGGTTCCTCTGCACACCTTGACTGTAGCCTCGCGGACGCCGGTGCCGCGGTGTAGTAGGCCTCCAGCGCGGTGGAGATGAAGTCCAGTGGCGCTGGTGAAGACCGTGGTGACCCTGCAGAGGAAACGGCGGTGTGGTGGATGGGCTTACCGTCGCTGGCAGCACTACTTTGATCGGTTTAGGTTTACTGTGGGTCGGATGGCGGCGGCTCCGTTGAACCTCGTAGCACGAGCCCTGATCCCCACCTTACCTTTTATATGTGCTGTGCGACAGGGGCCCACCAACCGTATTAGGGTTGGGCTCCCCCGATCAGGGAGCAGAGACAAGGGCCCAATAGGCCGTTGGTGGAGATCAACTAACAGGACAATCTTATAGCTAGTAACTATCTACACTGTTCGAGGTCTTTTAATGAATTTGCACTTGCCTATGTGGCAAACCAGTGTGATCCTCTCTCTCTCTCTCTCTGTCATAGATAGGCACACCAATCCCCTAGTTTCAGTATTTTGTCACTGATGTGGGATTCTGCTAGTACTAGGGAGTAGGGAGGTGGGACTAGAGAGTTGGTGACATTTCTTTACAAAACCTCATCTATTTAATACCTACAATATTTCGGCTCTTGACAGGACTTTGCTGAAGGTTTCTTGGAAGACAAGCTTACACCATTCTACAAGTCTGAACCAGTACCTGAATCTGTGAGTCTCAACTCATGAAAATTATCTGATATATCCCCATTCTTCACTCAGTTCGCATTACTGAGACATTGTACTTGTGTTTCCACACAGAATGATGGGGATGTCAAAATTGTTGTTGGGAAGAATCTGGATCTAATAGTTTTGGATGAATCAAAAGATGTACTTCTGGAGGTCTATTCTTGGCACTTTGGCAGGCATTTAAGAAAGGACATCGGCATGGTTGCCCCCACTTTGTGGGCTAATTTTCCCTCGCTTTTTTTCTTTCACTTTGCACCGTTGCCCCAGCTGTTCTCAATATGTTTTCACCATTGCCGATACTTTGCTTACACAAACTAGGGGCAGCGGTGCAAAATTTCAGGAACAGCAGGGGCAATGTTGCAAAGTGACAAAAGGAGCGCAAACTCAGCTTTAGGCACAGTGGGGGCCAGCCATGCATTTATCTCTTTATGAAAATAGGACTTGTTTGTTACTAATAATGACATGCCGTTTGGATGTAGATATACGCACCATGGTGTGGGCACTGTCAATCGCTGGAGCCTACTTACAACAAACTAGCCAAACATCTACGTGGTGTTGACTCCCTTGTGATAGCTAAAATGGATGGTACTGCCAATGAGCATCCACGTGCAAAGGTTTGTATTACTGCCTTCGATGGTTGGTTTTGGCTGACCATCCGTTTTCTTGAAAATGGTTTGGCTTTAGGATTTATAAAAACTGTAATGCTAGAAAAATGTGTTTTAATGACAGTATCTATAGCCAATGCCAACTTTATAATTTTGAACATATCTATGTTCATATTTTGTAGTGTAGTGCAGCCCGGATCTAAAGCTAGCATTAAAAAAACACCATCAAGGGGAGCACTAAGTTTGCAAGGCACTGCAATGTCTAAAGTTTGCTGGCTATGCCATTAGTAGTCATGACACGTGAACATCATTTGCCTTTCTTTTTTGCTCAAAGTTGCATTGTCTTATGATGGGCAAAAGAATATATGGATCTGTTCCTGGTCTGCTGCTTTATGCATGCCAGAGTGTATTTACTTCCCACCTCTGTGCCAGGGTAGTATGGTGTACTATATGTGAATCAGTATTTTGGTAAATGGTAACTTCCAAGCAATGCCAAGGGGAGCTTGTTAACTTAGATTTTTTGATCCAGTACTTGTGAGAGAACCTGGACGCACGATGACACTATGGATTAAGGCCTATGAATCCTATGATGCAGCTTATCTGCTTCACTTGCCATTCCATACATGGTGATGCTTTTGAGTGTTTATCACAAGCAAGCACTACTTTTTCTCTCTGCTGGACACACACATGCACAAAACAAAACAAATAGTTTTTGTTCGATGTTGCCACACATGCCCTCATCTTTTTGTCACATATATATATAGCTGATACACGGCTATTATTCTATTAACCTGCCCATGATCAGTGGTGGATCCCAGAAATTGTCTTGGACCAGGGCTGACTCAGTTAAATTAGTCTTAATCTTTTGTGATTTTATAACCTTCTACACATTTTATTAGTAGTTCTAGTGATGTTTTCTTGTCCAAGACCAGGGCTGCAGCACGGGCAGCCCGGGCCATAGATCCACTACTGCCCATGATATCCTCCTAATTAATGCAGTCAATGGCTCATATGATCTGTCCATTATTGTCGTTAACTACAAGCTGAAATCTAACTAGCACTAGTAGCAATGAACTTAGATACTAGCTGGACTTGGACACATGATTATTTCGAACAGCTTTAAGCGTGGCTCTTATTGTAGACATAATTTGGTAGTCTGCTTAGGTTGTCTTCTTGAATTTCAATGCATGGGAAATGTGATTTAACTGTTTGCTGATATGCATTATGTTCAGTTTTACTACCATATTTGCATGATACAAATCTGACACTTGGGTTCCTGTTACAGTCTGACGGATACCCAACGATTCTCTTCTATCCAGCTGGGAAGAAAAGCTTTGAGCCTGTAAGTGCTTATAACTCTATCGTTTTACTTGTTGATGTGTGGTATCTGTTAGGCATTAATCACATTATTCTCAGCAGTGCTATCTTTATGCATTGTTGGGACTGCAGCTAAAACAGAAGCGCCTATCTTAGGTGCAATATGAAGCTAGCTCACTCCTGGCTAACATGATTCTTGCATTGACAGTCCTCCATACCTGTAAACATTTCGTGATTTTTCATGGCTGTTATGCTTATTTATGCCCTACGGACTATGGTGTAGATCACTCTCTGTGGTCGAAAATTCAGTTCACTGTTAGTATTTAGTGACGTGAGGAATTGCAGATCCAGTAGATTAGTGGTTAAGATCAAAAGAGGAGCTGAGAAATGGCCACGAAACACCATGGCTAGCCAGTAAAAGAGTTTATTAATTGTTTGTCACATAGTCTCGAGCTTCTCTGATGAAACCAATTTGTGGTTTTAGGAGAAGCTTAGCTCTCCTCAACCATGTATTAGTTGACCAGGCAACAGGAAAACGTTTGGGGTCGCATGCATCTCCTAAGGTATGAACATTGACTGATCCCATGTGTTGATTTGTTTTTGCTATACCTTTTCAGATCACTTTTGAGGGGGAGCGGACAGTGGTAGATATGTACAAGTTCATCAAGAAACATGCTAGCATCCCTTTCAAGTTGAAGCGCCAGGAGTCAAGAACTGAGAGCACTCAGACGGAGGGTGTGAAGAGCTCTGGTACGAACCTGAAGGACGAACTGTAGGGCATTGAAGTATCATACATGTAGCTGAGGGTTGGCTGTTAGTTTTGAGGTGGATGTGGATCCTCCTCTGCAATCTTCCCTTCCCTTGCTGGATGACGAGGGAGGAGGAGAAATCAGTGCTAGTAGAAGAAGAGTGGTCAGCTTGAGGATTTAGAGGAGTGAAATTGGAACAGATCGGCATATATATAGTCAAATAAAATTAAATCTTTTTCCCTTTATCATGCGTCTGTTTTGCTGTCTTTACTTTGCTTTCAGTTTTGAAGAAAGATGGTGCTCGGATTTATACCATATAGATGGAGGTCACGGAAAACAGAAGGTGCGTGGAGCTATGAATTATTATATACACACACAAACAAACAATGCTAGCTGGAGCTGGAGCGAACTCCCCTGGAATGGAATATATATACAGAGAGATCTGATGACGACTGGATGATACTATAGTGAAGGGGAGCGCTCTATGCATGAGCAGGAGGCAGAGCGATCTCAATGTCTGGCTCCGCCACTGCCACTGGTGGCCCCCTGTCCCTGGAACTGGAACCGTGGCCCTGAGCGTCGGCAGCTGTAGCGGTTGTGGTGGGCGATGCCACAGCGTGCCTGGCCCTCCATCTGAGAATCCGGAGGGCGGAGTTGGTGCAGATGGCGACGCTGAAGCCCGCGAAGGTGGACAGGATGATGGCGATCACGGCTTGCATCCGCACCTGCTTGGATTGGTTGATTGGTTCACACACCACAGCACAGCACAGCAGGATGATGACATGATCAAATGCGTGGACAGTGGTAGAGAGATGCATGGACCTAAAGTCTAAAGATGATGGATCAAGCTAGGTTCTTACGTATCTGAAGAAGATGTGCGTGAAGAGCACAATGAAGAGGAACTGCACTGCAGAGTAGAACCATACATATCTCCTGGACACCATCTTTGTTGTGGTTAGGGAGGAGAAGAGGCCAAGGACGCAGGCGAAGGGCAAGGAGATGGCCAGAGCCGCCGTGCCATGGTCGCCGACCTGCATTTCCATTTTCATTCTGATCAGCCGCTGTTCCAGGAAGGAGGAAGCAGAAGTAGAGAGTAGAGAGCAGGCAGCAAGCAACTGACCAGCAGCTGTTCCAGGAAGCAGAAGTAGGCGAGCATGCTGACGATGACGAGGATTGGCGTGCCGTGCCACACCCTGTAGCTGCTGTATCTGCTGGTGGTGGTTGCGGTAGGATCACCAGCACCACCATCAGCTTGCGTAGTGCCCTGCAGCAGCTGCGCCTGTGCCTGAGCCAGAGCCACCGCGGCCTGAACGACGGATGGTCGACGGGCAGGGTCGTCAGGGTCCGGCAGGCGCCGCAGGGTGACTGGAAGGTTGAGCACCTCCTGGCTGCACACGTCGCAGGTGCCGTTGCCCTTGATGCTGAACCACTTGATGGCGCAGGCCCTGTGCGCCAGGGCCAGCTCGCCCTTGCAGCAGCACTCCAGCTTGAGCACCGCCTCCTCCGACAGGGCTACCATGCAGATGCGGCACACCGCCTCCTCGGCGGCGATATCTTGTTCCTTCTGTTGTTCTTCTTCCTTCTCTTCTCCTCCGGCTGTGGCGCTTGTGGCCTGATCTAGAGGAGGAGGAGGATGAAGAGGAACACGCAGCGGAACCACTCTGAGCCGCCTGAGAGAGCTGGAGTCTGCCACTCTCCTCGACCCTTTTCCTTTTGCGGTGCTGCTGAATCGCCTGGCGACGCTCGTAGTTGGCACGGACTGCGAGCGGCATACCTGCTTCAGCTTCTCCTCCTCGTCCTTGTTCTTATCCTTGGCAGCACCAGCACCGGCACCGGCAGCAGCAGCAGCAGCATCATGCTCGAGTTGGTGTTGATCAATAATGTAATCATCCAAGGTGGAGCTGGACAGGGATGCGCCGGCGGGCGCCCATATTCTGAAGCTGAAGATCTTGGAGAAGGACAGCGACCGGCCGCCGCCGCCGTCTGCTTGCTGGCTATGACATGCTTCATCTGTTGATCTCAGGCTGCGTGCTGGCAGAAGGCAGCTCGTCTGCTTATGCTTATTCCCGATGGGTGAGGACGAGGACGATGACGAGGAGGAGGAGATGTCGTCGTGGTCGACTTCTTCTTCTTGATGGCCCTGCACCTGCACCTGCCCCTGATCATCTACAGCTACAACAGATAATAATAATGTGCCGCCATGTTCCAGCATGGAAAGGCCGCCATCGTCTCCCATCGGCAAAGTGGAGCCCTGCGCGCACAGGCAGCAGATCGAATCAATCGAATAATAGGCTAGCCTGCTGGACGGATCGAAATTAAAGGCAGCTCTGATGAAGATGAACATGGAGAGAGCTCCAGGTCGAGCTCGAGCGAGCAACTGATGGATATGATGGGTGTTGGATCGACAAGGAACGATGGAAGCAGCCCACCCACCCCACCCAACGTACCTGTGGTTTATGATGAACCATGGCGACGCGACCTGGAGCCTGGAGGAGATCGGAGGTAGCTGTGTCTGTGTGTGTGTGGCGAGCTCGATATCGAGGCTGGAGCACGAGCAGTGACGGCTTGCGACGACGACGATAGGATTGCAATTACAATTGAAGAAGAAACCATGCATCATATATCATCATAGTATCATGCACCCGGCCACCTGTGGATGTGGCTGTGGTGCTGCTGCTTGCTTCCCCAATTAATCCAATCCAGAATTAATCGTCCTGTTCGTTTGGGCTGGTTTGGCTTATAAGCCATGACTGAAAGTACTGTTGACTGGTTTGGTGTGAGAGAAAAATATTGTTCATTAGCTAATAAACCATGGCTTATAAGCCAAATATGATCAAGCGAACAGGCTGAATAATAATCCCCGGTACGCGTACGGTACTGCCACTCATGGATGGTATTATTGGTAGATATCTAGGTTTAATTTCCATTGAAAAGCTTGGTTGGTTGGTTAACCGTGGCTGGCATGTCACTCGATCACGCGGGCGGCCGGGGCGTTGCTATTATTTGGTAGCGATGGAGGGAACTGAAATACAGGAGCTAGCTAGCTCCAACAATGCAATTAAGCGGTGGATGGAGACGACGTACGGTTCAGACGACTATTCTCTAGCTAGCTAGCTCATCTATCCAGTAAGCTAAGCTAAGCAATCAAGCAGCTTGCAGGACACGATCGACGGCGGCGTGGTTACGATTACGACTTATGGGATGATGGAGCTACATCAGCCAGCTACTAGCTCTCTAGCTAAGTGGGAACGGGAGAAAGAAACAACCAAGCTGCTGCCTGCCTTCTGGTAGTTAGTGTGTGTTCATTTTGACATCGAGTTGGCTTCGCACGCGACGCGACTGTTGAGCGAGACCACGACACTGACATGATTGACTAGCTAGCTAATTGCAACTACCATCTCACACTCACACTTGACTCTCTGCATGGCCTGCTCTTTTTTTTTTTATCAATTCGCACGCAAAATTATTTGGGTTATTTGGATTCTTGCTATTACAATTCCTCAAGTTTTGAAGGACGTCATTACTATTCTTCTTATTGAAAACTTGTCATTACTATTCTGCTTCCCCCTCACCCTTGCTCTTTTCTACGTCTAGAGCGTAGCTAGGCCCACCTGCAGGTGCCGTATTTCCGTATGGGCCCGTATTACCCCTGTACGAGAGGATAAGGCTGAGCAGCACGCCCCCGTTCTTCTCTGCCGCCCCCGTTCTTCTCTCGCACTCTTCCTCATTCTTTCCCCTTCTCTGCCGCACGCCCACGCCATCGTCCATTCTTCTCCCTTCATCCCTCCGACCAAACCCTAACCCCAGCTCTTTCCGCGGCGAACCAGGCGTGAGCGGTGGTAGCGAATTGAGGCGTGGTTGGCAGCGGCGATTGGAGGTGGTGGCGACGGAGACAAACCCTAACCTCGAGTCCACCGGAGGTGACAGAGGCACCCTGATGGTGGGGAGCTTAGGCTTAGCGCCTCCGTGCGCGTCCACTGCTCCAGCGGCGATGGAGGACAACGGCAGCAGGTACCCTTTCTGCATCCTTCGTCTCCATGTGGTCAACACAGTTGGCGATTAGTTGCTATTCTGATGATTTGTGCATGTATACACTGATTTGGAGATGAATTTACTGCTTCTTAGGGCTGGGGTGTTTGCGCTAGAGGAATTTACTACTTCTGATGGTTTGAGCTTGCTCCTGGTTACAAAACTGACAAGCAAAGGTTCATAGCAAAGTGTGCTGCTGAGGGATGCTCTTGGCGCATACATGCTTCCACCATTTTTTATAAGAAACTGTACATGTACATTTCTTTTTAGATTTGTGATGTATCATTGTCTCTGTTAACATTTATTTTTTGATTTTTGATGTATTATTTTATGTTAACATTTTCTTTTACCCTATGCTATTGTAGATCAAAAAGCTTCCTGTGACCACAATTGTCCTACCACCAAGCTAAGAGAAGGGAAAATGGCTAGTCAGGGCTGGTGTGCAGATAGGATTGGAGATTGGGTTAAGAAGAACCCAACAAAGGGAGCAAAGGAGGCAAAGAAAAAATTAGAGGGTGACTTTGGAATAAAGTTGAAGTACTCAAAAGCTTGGTCTGGTTTGAAGGTAGCCTTGATCAGATACATAGTAAGCATGAGGAAAGCTTTCAACTTCTTTTCAATTGGGCTGCACAGCTAGAAATAAGTTTACCTGAAAGTAGAGTACAAATAAAGTTGGAGAAGATTGGTAAGAAGAATAGGTTCAAGAGGGTTTTTGTTGCTTTGAAGCCATGCATTGATGGATTCCTAGCTGGTTGTAGACCCTTTGTAGGAGTAGATGCATCTTTTCTGAATGGAAAGTATACTGGATAGTTGGCTTCAGCAACAGGTGTTGATGGGCATAACTGGTTGTACCATATTGCATTTGGTGTGTTTCACTCAGAGACTGAGGACAACTGGAAGTGGTTCCTAGAGAATTTGCACAGTGTCATAGGAGACCCGCCAGGACTAGTAATATGTAGTGATGCTTGTAAAGGGTTAGAGAAAGTTGTGTGGGCTGT